AAATGATAATAAAGTATATTATGAATTTACATTAAAAATGTGGTACATACATGCCCTGGAATACTATGCAGCCATGAAAAGAATGAAATTATGTCCTTTGCAGCAACATGGATGAAGATGTAGGCAATAATCCTAAGCACATTAATATAGGAACAGAAAACTAAATGGTACATGTTCTCACTTATAAGTAGGAGATAAGCATGGAGCGCACATAGACATAAATATGGGAACAATGGACACTGTTATCTGCTAGAGCAGTTATCCTCAAACTTTGTGGCACCAGCAACCAGTTTCATGGAAGACTATTTTTCCACGTACATGAGGTGGGGTCAGTAGTGGTTTCATGATAATTCAAGTGCGTTACATTTGTCATTGGATTATCATAAAGAGCATGCAACCTAGATCCCTTGCATGCACAGTTCACAATAGGGTTCATGGCCCTATGAAAACCTAATGCTGCTGCTGACCTGACAGGAGGTGGAGCTCAGCTTTACTCACCTGACAGCTTCTTTCCTCTTGCTGTGCTGCCTGGTTCCTAACAGACCAGAGCAGTGCCTGTCTGTGGCATAGGGGTTGGGGACCACCACTCTAGAGAGTGGAGGGAGGAAGTTTGGTTAAAAAACTACCTACTGGGTACTACAGTCATGACTAGAATAATGGCATCTATATTCCAAACCTCAGCATCATGCAATATTCCTTTGTAGCAAATCTGCACGTGTACTCCCTGTGTCTAGAATAAGAGTTGAAAATTTTTAAAAATGTTATCATGGAAAAATTATGGCCACTCTGTATAATTTAATCCAATATCTAATCCTTTTCAAACTAGGACCAAAGTATTACAATAACGGATGATATCTGCAAGTCTTTTTATTACTTTTTCTTACTCTTTTTGTCAACTCTAGTTTCCCAGGATCTCTTGGCTGGATGTTTTACCAGGTTTAAAGGGTTCGTAGAAAAGGTAAATCACTAAAACCCTGGGCATGACCAGGTGCAGCGGCTCATCCTTGTAATCCCAGCACTTTGAGAGGCTGAGGCAGGCAGATCAACTGAGGTCAGAAAACCAAGACCAGCCTGGCCAACATGTCAAGATCCTGTTTTACTAAAACAATGCAAAAATTAGCTGGGCATGGTGGCATGCACTTGTAATGCCAGCTACTAAGGAGTCTGAGGCACAAGAATCACATGAACCCAGGAAGTGGAGGTTGCAGTGAGCCAAGGTCATGCCACTGCAGTACAGTCTAGGTGACAGAGTGAGACTCCTCCTAAAAGAAAAGAAAAAAAAAAAAAAAAATCTGGGCATGAAAAGCAATACAACTTTCAAAGGCAAATTTGCTATTTTTGTTGGAATTTATTTTTCCTGCCCTGATATAAGCTTCCTGAATTGTTATACCGATTGCTTTTATGCTGAATTTATGGCAGGTAATATAAACTACATTACTTATCATATAATCTTATATTACTATTGAACTGGTACTACTGCAAGTATTTTACATATGTTGACTAATTTAATTATCCTAACAAGCCTATAAGTGAAGTACTATTATTCACCTTTAAAGAAGAGGAAACTGAAGCATGGGGAGATTAAATATTTAAGTATGGAAAATTAGTAAGGAGTAAAAACTAGTACTCAAATTCCAGAGTGAGCTCCAAAGTTCATCTTCCGTCATCTTTGTTCTGTTGTCTCTCAAAAGTGAAAGACAACAATGTTGTCATTATTTTTAAGTATGTTCCTTCAATACCTAGTTATTGAGAGTTTTTAACATGAAGGGATGCTGAATTATTTGCATTTTTCATTTGCCTGGTAAATTTTCCCCCATCCCTTTATTTTGAACCTACAGTATATGTGTCATTGCACCTTAGAGAGGTCTCTTGAAGACAGCATATGAATGATTCTTGACTCTTTATTAACCTTGTTCTTTTATGTCTTTTAATTGGGGAATTTAGCCTATTTAAATTTAAGATTAATATTGTTATATGTGAATTTGATACTGTCATCATGATGCTGAATCTAGCATTTTCTTACACACATAAAAAGGTAATTTTTCACAAATAGTTCTACGTATTTATGACAGATAATGTTTCTACTGATAAATGAAATACATGTGATTTAAATATAATTTATAAATTCTTGTTTCTTTAAGTCTCTGAGTTTGTGTTTCTGTTTTGCAGGAAAAGCTAATTAACCCATATAGATATGAGTTGTCAGGAATACTGTTCTGATTAAATAAATTTTAGTAGATATCTAAATGATGAGAAGAAGGAAATCATGCTTGGAATTTTTAAGACCTTGCAATAAAAATAAACTTAGCACTTTTGAGGTAAAACAAGGCCAGTATAACCAGAGCATATTGAGCAAGAGGCAAGTGGTAGGAAAGAAAGATTGAGAAGGAAAAAATAATGTAGTGTATTATTTGTTACGGCAAAACACATTATTTTTAAATCAATGAATAAATAAGAAAAATGTGCATATGTGAGTTGCCTGGGGTTCAGGGATCTTGGCTGGGTTGACGTATAACTCTAGAGATCCACCAGCTTGATTATCCACTAGCAGTTTCACTATAAGCTGGGTTTATTGTAAATATTTACAATATTAATATGTCGATTAATATAACCTCTCACATGCTCTTTTCTTTTCGCTAACGTTATTTTCTTGACAGCAACTGTCACCATCTGATTTTATATACGTACGTTTAAAGACAAGGATTTCTTTTTCTTTTCTTTTCTTTTTTTTTTTTTTTGAGATGGAGTCTTGCTCTGTCACCAGGCTGGAGTATAGTAGCTCAATCTCAGCTCACTGCAACCTCTGCCTTCCGGGTTCAAGCGATTCTTCCGCCTCAGCCTCCTGAGTAACTGGGACCACAGGCATGTGCCACCATGCCTGGCTAATTTTTTTGTATTTTTAGTAGAGACAGGATTTCACCATGTTGGCCTGGATGGTCTCAAGTATTTTTTTTTCTTTATCATTCTACAAGTAGTTGAGAGAATGGTTTTTTTTTTTTTAATTTTATTTTTTTATTTTTTTTTGAGACGGAGTTTCACTCTTGTTACCCAGGCTGGAGTGCAATGGCACGATCTTGGCTCACCACAACCTCCGCCTCCTGGATTCAAGCAGTTCTCCTGCCTCAGCCTCCTGAGTAGCTGGGATTACAGGCACGCGCCACCATGCCCAGCTAATTTTTTGTATTTTTGGTAGAGACGGGGTTTCACCATGTTGACCAGGATGGTCTCGATCTCTTGACCTCGTGATCCACCCGCCTCGGCCTCGGATTACAGGCTTGAGCCACTGCGCCCGGCCGAGAGAATGTTTTTTTTTTTTGTTTTTTGTTTTTTGTTTTTTTTTTGAGACAGAGTTTCGCTCTTGTTACCCAGGCTGGAGTGCAATGGCGCGATCTCGGCTCACTGCAACCTCTGCCTCCTGGGTTCAGGGTTCAGGCAATTCTCCTGCCTCAGCCTCCTGAGTAGCTGGGATTACAGGCATGTACCACGATGCCCAGCTAATTTTTTGTATTTTTAGTAGAGACGGGGTTTCACCATGTTGACCAGGATGGTCTCGATCTCTTGACCTCGTGATCCACCCGCCTCGGCCTCCCAAAGTGCTGGCATTACAGGCTTGAGCCACCGTGCCCGGCTGAGAGAATGGTTTTTAATTTATATTACAAGATGAGTAATAGTTGCTGAATAATAAAATTATTAAATGAATTTTGATACCTAATAAAATGGCAGCTTTCATAAAGAAAATTAAATGCATTTTATTATTCTTGCGCTCAACAGATACCATAATCAACTGGAAGATGTAAACAATTTAAGAATATAAGTTTATAGTTTATTTAGAGAAAATATTTGTTGTTGCTGTGGTTGCAGTTATTATTTTAAGTAATCTCGGCAATTCTCATGGCCCAACAACAGTGCCTGGAATAGTGGAGACCACAGAGACTAATCAAAGAATAAATGAATAAAAGGAACAATAATGGAATAAAGCAAGGTGGTGCAAAGGCTATATGTATGCACATAATGGAACTTCCAATTCTTCATATTCCTCATTTGAGTCCAGCTAATATGGTATAGAATAAGTATTGACATCTCTAGTTTAGAAAAGTCAAGGGCTTTGCCCAAGATCACATAACTGGGAAGCGGTAGAGGCAGGATATGAATATATAACTTCCAAACATGAGGGTACTGCTTTTTTCTTTGAATAGTGGAATAATGACACTTTAATGGAATAGAGATAAGGTAGGATAGAGAAGTATATGGCATTAAAACACAATAAGATAAATGGAGTACATGCTAGTACATTTGTCTCCTTGGGCTGCCATAACAAAATACCATAGACTGGGTGTCTTAAACAATAAAAATCTATTATGCTGAAAGTCCCAGAGTGAGGTGTCCATGTATTTAGTTTCTGGCAAAGGCTCTTCCTGGCTTGTAGACTGTGCCTTCTCTGTGTGTTCTCATCTGGCATCTCCACCTGTGAGCACAAGAAAGATCTCTGTTGTTTTTTTCCTCTCCTTACATGAACGTATGTTCTATGGAATTAGGGCCTCACTCTTGTGACTTCATTTAATTTTAATTACCCCAGAGTGCTTTGTCTCCAAATAACAGCAACAATGAGGAGTTAAGGCTTCAACATATAAATTTTAGAGGGGTATGAAATTCACTCTACACCAACTAGAAATGTAAGTTAGGGATTTAAACCACAAATATTTGTAAGGACTTCAGTTGGGTCCTTGAAACTAGATGTTTTGGTCTAGTGAAGCATTTAGTGCATATTCATCCAGCACTACCATTTTCTACATATTAAGTATTTTGCACATCAAATTATGACATATAGTAATTTTTTTGATATATGATATTTTTAAATTAACCTGAATTCTAAGTGAATCTTATAGGACACTTTTTTTCTTTTCTCTCTTTTTACAATTCTTGGGCAATATGTGACAGATGCTTAAAGTACAGAAGGATATTATAGAATTTATCTAGAAGATTTATCTCTTATTTTATAGGCACAGCAGCTTACTGATCTGGAACAAAAATTAGCTGTAGCCAAAAATGAACTGGAGAAAGCAGCTCTTGACAGGGTAAGTCTACATCCATGAACCATTACAACTTTAGTTTTAGCAAAAAAAAATTTTAAGTATACTCATTGCTTTTCTTGATTTATTAATGTATTTCTAAATGCTGTATATATAAGACAGTTACAGAATTCAGGAATGTTTGATATCTTCTTTGGAATCCAATTCTTTCTTTGTTTTGCTGCTACAGTAAATTGACTGAAGTTTCAGTCTTTGTGAGTTCATGGCTCTGTTTTTCAGCTCACTGGTATATTTATTCCATAATACCACGAATAAACATGCTTTAAAGCACCAACTAAGGCACTATATATTAACTCTGGGCAAATGAGTTATGAAGTAAATGTAAGTAATTATTGGTGTCAAATTGTTATAACCAGTGTTTGAATGTGTGTATCTTACAATTTATACTTATCTATATTTACTTGGAAACATGCACAAGAACACTGAATATAGCAATGTTTATATTAATAATAAATAGAAGTAATTTAACTGTTTACTGTAAGATAATACACCTATTTTTACATATTTTATATACTCAAATCTGAAAATAGTAATTAAAAAACAAATATACATAAATGTATTTTATCAATATTGTTATACAGTACAACATATAATGTTCAGTGAGAAAGGCAGAATTATATGTATAATATTTAACAATTGTTCAAATACACAAAACACATTTTTAAAAATTACATAGAATGTAAAAAAAATATGTATGTAGAAATTTGATGTGTATATTGAAAGACACAGTCACATAAAATTCATGGATACAGTTGCCTTTGCGGAAAGACAGTAAAATAACACCAGGGATGTTTACAAAGTACACTTCTACTGTGCCCTAAATATTTTATCTTCCAATCATTGTATAGACACCAACTATCTTCAATTCATGCACAACATATATGTATATTTTATATATTACATACATGTATTATATACATATGTATACAAACATTATATATGTGACAAATATAAATATGTTGCACATATGCTCATATGTGTATATATATATATATTTGTTATAACATAGAAAATGATATATGTAACAATTATTCGTATATTTTTATTATCAAAATTTTGCCTTTAACATTTAATTCAGATAGATATTTACTTGATATTTGTTATGTTGCTGTCTGCTTCTATTTTTTTAACATAATTTTTTTAATTAAATAAGATATTCTGTCTGATGTCAAGGGTTTTTTATTTTTGTGGTCACAGCTTAGTAACCATTTAATTGAGGAAATTAAGCAAGTAAGATGATTGTTGTTATAGACTTAATTTGCAATAATACTTTTATTTTGCAATAGTACACTGTATTATTACATTTGGCAATTTTGAAGGAAAGGGGGTTACCTTCTAACCATCAGTTTGTACCACAGTTGTTTTAGTAAAAAATAGAGGGGAGCTTGCTCCCTATTTTGTGTTAAGTCAAGTATAATTTATTTTATTAAGAGCTCAGCATCGTAAGATTTTTTTTTAATTTGTATAAAACAAATTTATACCAATTTAAGCTAATCTCCGACCATATCCAACTTATACTATATATTACTTTTTTTTTTTTTTTTTTTTTTTTTTTGAGATGGAGTTTCGCTCTTGTTACCCAGGCTGGAGTGCAATGGCGCGATCTCGGCTCACCGCAACCGCCGCCTCCTGGGTTCAGGCAATTCTCCTGCCTCGGCCTCCTGAGTAGCTGGGATTACAGGCACGTGCAACCATGCCCAGCTAATTTTTTGTATCTTTAGTAGAGACGGGGTTTCACCATGTTGACCAGGATGGTCTCGATCTCTTGACCTCGTGATCCACCCGCCTCAGCCTCCCAAAGTGCTGGGATTACAGGCTTGAGCTACCGCGCCCGGCTACTTTTTAAAAATGTATATGACTCATTGTAACATTGGTGGAATCAGAGAATCAGAGGCATTTATAATCTTAAAGCTCAGGTAGATCACCTTCGTTTTAGTCCTTTTTCTGATATTCTTGCATAATTGTAACATTGGTGGAATCAGAAAATCAGAGGCATTTATAATCTTAAAGCTCAAGTAGATCACCTTCATTTTAGTCCTTTTTCTGCTATTCCTGCATAATCGCTGGAATACAATCTAAGTCCTAGAAAATCACTGGATTCCCATGATTCTGAAGCAGCCTGTTCTTCTCTGAGTTTTTACCCTCTCTGACTCTTGGAATATTATTCCTTATATTAAATGTCCTCCCAATTTGACTTCATATAATCTTTTTAGTCAGTCAATGACTAAAGAGCTTTGATATGCCTTTTTTGTGTGTGTGGCCATCCTATTCTAGGTACAATGGGAAATAGAAAATATATGAGACAAGGTCTTGGTTCCCATGTCTCTCACAATTATGTTTAGCACTAACAATTAGGAAGTAATTGCATGCTGAGACATGAGGCAACAGAAGCGCAGAGAATAAATATATATTTTGTAAGTACCTGTGGGTCATAGGGCATGGTATAGTCACAAAACACTTTATTTTTCAACTGAAATTTGGCCTGAGTCAAAGAGTTAGTGTAGAGTTGTTCGTCTATCTTTAGTTATGTTAGAAACAGATCAGATGCTTGGTGCTGCCAAGAAAAATCAGCACGGAGACAAAGGATCTTTCAGCAAAGCAGTTTTTACTTCCTAGACTGCAGGAAAAGTACACTTGCTAGCCATCTTGCCACGAGAGTACAACGAACAAAGGAAAAGCAGACATATTTATCCCTTATGAATTTGGGGTCATCCTTACTGCTGTGTCTCATCCTTGTTGGCTAGAGTCAGACCTCACTATCTAAACTAAAACCCGATTGGCTCATGATTTAATACTTTTTTAAACAGGTAAGGGGCATAGGCTGCAAGCTGGGATACACTGGTGAGCACGTCCAGCACAGATATTTTGGTTAAAGTACAAGGACATAGAATGAACTATGTGCCTGTAAGCATGGTATGTTTAACAACTACATAGGATAGGGCTTAACAGATATTTATCAGCATACTTACTGATTTATTCTTTAACAAGTAAAGGAAGCTTTGAAGAGAAACTTTTACTTCCCACAAGTTATACGTATTCTTACCCATTCTATGCTCTTCTAACCAGTTCTACCACCCAACCTCTGTCATTATGTCCCTAAATTTCAGGATGAGAGGCTGTATGTTCCAGTGGTTAAATAATGGCCTCCAGAGATAGTCTACTTGTCTTCAAATCATTACTCTTTGACTGAATGACTGTGTTTAAATTTCTCAAAATCGTTTTGTCTCATATGGAATAAAAATAAAATTTATTTATAAGGGTGATGGGAAAATTACACACAGCCAAAAATTACAGTACTAGGTACAATGCCTGGAAAACATTCAGTAAGCTTAGTAGTTATTATGATTGTTAGTGAATAAGATCATGGACTGCATATCTGTGTTAACAATTCCCTCTTTAACCTTCAGATCTTGTCACTCCTTTTGGTAACTACAAATGCCTTTCATATTACTGGAGGCTGATTTTAACAAATCTTATGTAAGATACATATGAGGCTCATAAACTGTAGCAATAAAGTCAGATAGGAATGCTAGCTGACTTCAAAAGAGATAAGACTACAGCTTAATGAAATGGACTTTCACCTCTCTCCGTCATTTTTATATGAGGCTTTTAAAATACTCTTCAGGCATCTAGTTCCCAAAAACATAATATCTGGAATTCAAATAACCCTAAGTACCTTATACATATGAAAACATCTTAACACTTCAACTTGATTCTTATGACATATTTAATGAGAGAAGTCTCAGTTTAGCATCCCAGTATAAACAATAATAATACCAACAGCTAAGAATCAACCTTGAGTTTCTAAAAAAATCAATTATTTATTTGGCAGTATCTTATGAATTATATATAGTTGGCCTCAGCTACTGGAATATAAAATAAGCTTTTTGCTATGAAAAATCTCTCCAACTTTTACACCAAAAATATTTGTAAAGTGTATGTCCCTCATAAAATTTCACCTGGGAAAGTATACATTATTACATCCATATTACAGATGATATAGCTGCTAGGGTAGGTGACCTACACAGACGCCAATGACTGAGTAATAACAGAATGAGAAATCTTTTTGCCACCACACAGTGTCTGGCACATAGCAGGAAAATAATAAATAGTTCTTAATTAAAAATAAAGACCTGACTTAAATGAATAAACATTCTAGTCATCCTCCATACAAGGGACCTGGATATCACTGGAGCAGAGTGATATCCAAAAATATTGAATGCCTTTCCCGAACTCTCTAAGGTGATTTTTTGGCAGAAATAAAGTTAGGGAGAAAGCGTTTGGCCTCATAGCCTCTCATGATCTTTCCAAAGTCCACAGTTGAGGATGTAGTGTCTTCATGTTAAAGAATTAAGGTAACATGAAAAATATCTTGTAATGTTTCATTTGTGTAGAGATTAGATATTAGGGGCATAGTTGTCTTTGCAAGGTATGTCTTGTTGTCTCTATAAAAAATGCATTTTTCTGAGAAAAGTACTAACGTACACCAAAAAAAATCTATCTTCTAAATCTTCCACCATCTTAAGATCACATATAAGAAAAAATTCCTTATAAACTTTTAATATTATATAGTTTAAGTGGTAGTATTTTTAATAAATGAAATAAATTTCTTATCTAATATACAAGATAAAATAAGAAATATTTCATTATTTTCTTGTTTAACAGAGTACTAACCTATATTCTCTGGAGGATTTGCTTAACTTTTTATATAACGAGCCTGTGTTGTATTAGAAACTGATGATGCCACAGAAAAGATATCAGCCTTCAAAAAATTTTGTTAAAAGTAAACATCAAACATATAAACAACAAGATAATTTGAAATGATGGTTAGGACTAAATAAGATATAAAAGTAGGAAATAAAATAACAATTTTATCAAAGAAGCATTCCTAGAAAGAGTGTTAGGGGACTGTTGCCATGAAAATAGTATGTGAGCTAAGGCATACATTTTATAAGTGGCAGTTTCTATACGGGTATTTGGAAGAA